CCAGGACACTGCAACTGTCATAAATATGGAGCGATTGCCCAGCGCCTGAATTTTAAGCAAGGGAACACGGGGATACTGCGATGGTCGTTCAGTGTGAAAAATGGTCTCAATATTTAAAAAAATGATCTCATCCATTACATACAGCATGTCGTTTTTGTTACAAGTGTTTTTGCATCCATATTCTCAATTACATATACAATCACAGATTTTCCGTCTAATATAACTAAATACCTCACTTTCATTGTACAATGTATATTCAATTACAATTAACATTATTATTATTCTCCCAATAAACCTAATTCCCTTACATTCTTGATTGTCTGTTTAATAACAATATACCTTTATATAATCACAAATCCCAATGTGAAAGAGATTTACCAACCATTTATATTTGTATGCCACTATTTTCAATCATGCATAATCCCACCAATCATCCATCGAGTATGCTTATGTTCATTATTGCCCTTGTACATCACACATTCAAACAAAGATGTTATTCCTTCATTTTTCAACAAGGTGTTCTAAATAGTCACTTCATATATATATATACCAATAATATTCTCTTAGTTTCTGATAACAGGTTTATTGCTAGGCATCCCTGTCAGTTCTAGGGTGGAGCAAAAAGATAAAAAGAGAGGAAAAAGCCCCCCCCCTTTGCAGGAAATTGTGGCTATATATGTTAAGGTACTAACCCTAAATATCAAGTGCGTTGGCATTTGGGATACAATAAAGCCTCCCTCTTAGCCTTACACACACTCCTCCTTTCTCCCCCAATATCATGCCCAGAGCCATTCTCTTTTCCCAGGTGGCATTTTCCACTGGTGGCATCTAATTGTGCAGCTATGCCCTCCACAGCATCCCTTGTGTAACTCTCTGTTGGTTACAGCAGATAGAATTGATCCCATCTACATTCTTGTTTTTACAGCTGTGAGAAACAGAACTACTTCGCCGAGGGAACTACAACAGAGACGATAACTTGGGAGCAGCAAGAGATTGTTCACATATTCGCAAACAGAGGGGGGGGCGCACACAATTGGACCCACAACGAAGTGTGCATCAGCTTTCTATATCCCCTTACACAAGCTGTGCTTTTTTTTTGGCACTGCATTCCCTCGAAATGCCTCTCCCTTATATGGCACCTATTCAACCCCCCAAAAAGCAGTGACTATAGTGGAAATAGACAATATACTGTATCCAACACCTGTGCACATTTTTAATTTCACAGTTTAACTATAGGCTCTATTTTCTCTTTTGCGCTTCCTCTGTTTGCGGTTTTTCGTCAGCTGCTTGTCTCATATTAACCTCAGCGGTGACTTTTCCATCCCGCAGGTATGTTAGAAGCGTTTATTTTAAAAACCGCCACCGTTCCAATTTTGTTGACAAACGACACAGTAAAAATAATGATTCGAACCCAGCAGCAATCTGCTTTGGGGGCTTATTTTAATCAGGGTCTCCACTAGAGACACACACCCCCGGAATGGCATCCAGGTACACTCCATCCTCTGTGGAGGTCCCTAGCACATCTTTTTACTTTATTTATGTTCCTTTATTTTATTTATGTCCCATATCTTCTTCTCCCCCAAATGGCAGGATAAATGAGGATAGCCAATTGAACAGGTGCACAGGTCCCTGCCCAATTTGGGGGAAAGTACATGCCTTAGTACAGGGGTGTTCAAACTTGGTAGCTTTAAGACTTGTGGACTTCAACTCCCAGAATCCCCCAGCCAGCTATGCCTTAGTACAGGGGTGTTCAAACTTGGTAGCTTTAAGACTTGTGGCCTTCAACTCCCAGAATCCCCCAGCCAGCTATGTCTTAGTACAGGGGTGTTCAAACTTGGTAGCTTTAAGACTTGTGGACTTCAACTCCCAGAATCCCCCAGCCAGCTATGCCTTAGTACAGGGGTGTTCAAACTTGGTAGCTTTAAGACTTGTGGACTTCAACTCCCAGAATTCCCCAGCCAGCTGGCTGGGGAATTCTGGGAGTTGAAGTCCACAAGTCTTAAAAGTTCCCAAGTTTGGAGACCCTTGCCTTAGTATCTCTCTTCCCCCCCCTGCCAATACTACCACAAAGTCAGCTCCAGGAATGCTCCTTCTGGAGTCATTCCTCTTCCCAGCTGCTGTGGTTGCATCAACGTTTTTCCAGTTCTCCTACCTTCTGGTCAGGATCCACACCTGGCCCAGGTAAGGCCTGCAGTGTGGTTTCCCCAAAAAAGGCTGCAGAGAACACCGGTGTGGTTTGAATAACGTCCCGGCCTTTTAAGGATGGAACCAGGAGAGCAATGGATCTCCTCCTCCTCCTCCCGTTTCCCCAGGCCATTCCACGTTAATAAAGAGCCAATAATATACATCTCATACTAATTGGGCCCATCCAAGTGGAAAGGACCACATTTATAGCAATTGCTCTTATTGAAACCTTTTATAAAAAAAAAACCATACGTTTCTATCCAGGCATTTGTATTTCCAAGCCTTGTTTCGGTTTCAAAAAAGTTTGTCTCAAGTTGTCTATTTCCATTATAGTCACTGCTCTGAAATCCGGGAGGGGTGGGCAAATCTCGGGCATTTGGCTTTTATCCTGAAACAATCACCCCAAAGGATCTTTTCCTGCTGTATCGATCCCCAAACTATGCAAAGTATTATGGATCTGCTTCACTATCTTTACAATCAGGCTGATTATATATTGTATGCTTCCCCCCCCCCCCACTGGTGCAGAGGTTTTTCTCCTAAATAGGGAAATGTTTTATTTAACATCTGGTGAGTAGAGTAGAGTAGAGTACAGTAGAGTAGAGTAGAGTACAGTAGAGTAAATAGGAATGGGAGTGGGAGTAGTAGAGTAGAGATAATAGGAATGGGAGTGGAGTTAGAGTTAGAATAAGATTTAAGCTCTGCTATTCCCGAGTTAGGATAAGTAGCCCATCCTTCAGCCTCTTCCATACATTCCCCCAAAGGGGGCAAACTGCATTAGCACACTTATATTTTTTCCCACACCTGCACCTTGTCTTCGGTTGCTCAAATCCCCACAATTTATTCAAGTGCATCCATCGAATTTGGTCACCTGAGGCTTGGTTGTAAATTTAATCAGTGGAACTGCTTGCCACCAGAAGTTGTAAATGCTCCAACACTGGAAGTTTTTAAGAAGAGATTGGACCACCATCGGACTGAAGTGGTGTAGGGTTTCCTGCCTAAGCAGGGGGCTGGACTAGAGGACCTCCAAGGTCCCTTCCAACTCTGCTATTCTAACAGGGCCAGATTTATGGAGGTTTTGAGCAAATAAAGATTTCCGGTCGTAATCCCCATTCCCTTGTACCACATAGAATACAACCAGGTATGCCATTTTAAGCACTGTAAGTGGGTACACTTTGGGCAATTCAAGGCATTGAACATTGTTTTTTGTCCAATAGTTTCCCTTCAGCTGAAATTATTTTTCTGTTACCTTGGCAGAGAATATTTAGTTCACCCCTAATCAAAGCAACCAAACCTTTAGAGAAAATCTTGATGGTGTTGAAAATAGAAATGGCTTTTCACACTCTTGTCTGAGTCTTCTTCTATATTCCACCTACACCCAATTTTCTCTTCCCCCCCAGGTCCCAAAGGTGCTTTTTTTCCCAGGAGGCAACCTGGACTTTCTTGTTTTTTCTTTTGAAGATGTTTCATTTCTCATCCCAGAAGCTTCTTCAGCTCTGACTGGATGGTTGGGGACAGAAGGATTTATTCTCCCTGCAGACAGCTGGTCATTTGCATCCTTTTTAGAGGGTCCTTGAGACTACTTGGAGGTTTATTTATGTCTTCTTTAAAGATGTTTCACTTCTCCTCCAAGAAGCTTCTTCAGCTCTGACTGGATGGTGAGGAACAGAAGGATTTATGCTCCTTGCAGGCAGCTGGTCATTTGCATCCTTTGAGAGGGTCCTTGAGACCACTTGGAGGTTTATTTATGTCTTCTTTAAAGATGTTTCACTTCTCCTCCAAGAAGCTTCTTCAGCTCTGACTGGATGGTGGGGGACGGAAGGATTCATGCTCCTTGCAGACAGCTGGTCATTTGCATCCTTTTCGAGGGTTGTTGAGGACACTTGGAGTTTAATCTGTGTCCTCAAAAGTCACCTGAGTGCTGCAATCTGCATTTTTTTTCCAACTGGAAATCCATTCCTGCTCCCACACCATTCAAAGGGTGTTGGTCCCAATATAAATCCTTCCCTTCCCCACCATCCAGACAGAGCTGAAGAAGCTTCTGGGGGTGAGAAGCAAAATGTCTTCAAAAGAAAAAAAAAAAACAAGTCCAGTGGTTTCCTGAAAAAGCCTATCTTGTTCTATATTTCTGGTATCAAATAGGATATTTAAACTGAGGACCAAATACTCCGACGCCATTATGCTAGGTTCCGTAAATGGTGGCCTGAAAACCAGCCACCTGGACTTCAAGAAGTCCAGATAAAGTTATCTTCTTGCTATGGGTCTTGTAACTCCTAAAAAGCAAACATATTGCTTTATTGTCTCAGGAGAAGGGAGTCACCGGAAAAATTGCAGTGTGTTTACTTTTATGCTTGTGGAACTCCGTCCGATCCCGCCACTCTGGTGAAAGGTGTCCAGCCTTTTTTCCAGCTGTCCTCACAGCTGTCTCAGGGGTCAGTGGCCCTTGAAAAGGACCTTCCCATCCAGGATGCAGCTTCGATTGTTTCCAGGATTTGACCCACTTCTCCAGGCTGGGGACTATAAGCTTTTTTTAATGGCGGCCGTTGAGCTGAGGAAAGATAAAGGAGAAGACAACAGCAGCATAGAGTTCTTAAGAAAAAACATCTTTTAGTCTCCAAGTGGGGTATTTCTCCCGTTCTATGTTGTTGTTCTTGTTGTTTGATCATTGTAAATCGACTAGCAGTCCTCAACTTACAGTGGTCTGCTTAATGACCGTTCAGAGTTACAACGGCACAGGGGGGCAAAAGTGACTTAGGGCCGTGTTTCACAATTGCGACCTTTGAAGGATCACGTGGGGTCAAAATTCAGGTGCTTGGCACGCTTGCTCACACTTACGACCGCTGCTGTGTCTCAGGGGTTACGGGATTCCCCCTTTTTTTAACGACCTCCTGACAAGCGGGAAAGCCGGATCCGCTGAGCAACGCCGTCGCTAACTGATACACTGCAGGGATTCACTTAACAACTATTGGCAAGGAAAGGGCTGCGAATTGTGCAAAACTGTATCATTTAAAAACGGAGATCTGGAGCTCAGTTGTGGGAATAAATCGTGGACTGCCTGAATTTATGATGGTTGCAGTGTCCTGGGGGGGGGGGAGGGGGTCACGTGATTCCCCTTTTAACGACCTTCTGACAAGCAAAGTCAATGGGGAAGCTGGACAACCCCGTCGCTAACTGATACACTGCAGGGATTCACTTAACAACTTTGGCAAAGAAAGTGGTAAAATGGGGGCAAAATTCATTTAACAAATGTTTCGCTTAGCACAGTGGTTCCCAAACTTGGCAACTTTAAGACTTGTGGACTTCAACTCCCAGAATTCTCCAGCCAGCAGAGCTTAAAGTTGCCAAGTTTGGGAACNTATCTATCTATCTATCTATCTATCTATCTATCTATCTATCTATCTATCTATCTATCTATCTATCTCTGAATAATTATACTATATATAGAATAGTGATGTATATAATTGGAAAGAAAGAAAACTGAGATAGCCATTGTGTAAATAAGATTGATACCAATACTGAAACGCTGTCAAAGAATGGAAATGTGGTGTAAATCTTGAATGTGTTTCATAAAAAATATAAAAAAAGAAAAAGAAGAAAAAGAAAATCCAGCAGTTCAAATCCCTAGTACAGGTCTCCTGCGTGAGGAGGGGGTTGGACTAGATGACCTCCAAGGTCCCTTCCAGCTCTGTTACTGTTACGAAAACCCCTTGAAAGGAAAGATAAAGGAACACCCCACACACAGACACACATCCTTGCTGTCTGGGGGATTCTGGGAGTTGTAGTCCATGATGCCCACTTTAGAGAGACTCCCCCCCGCATCTTGCCCCGGAGGGAGGGGAATCAATTCCCCACCCCTCAACCTGCCTCAGGGGCGGCCCCTGTGCCTCAGTTTCCCCCCTTCTCCTTCCGTGCCTCAGTTTCCCTCCAGCCCCCCCAGTTTCAGACTCTTGACCCCCCCCCATCGTGCCTCAGTTTCCCTCCCGGAGGCCTAAGGGGCGGGGCTGGGGGGGGAGGAAAGATGGCCCGTTCCCATGGCAACGAGGCCTCCTCCCGCCTGCCTCGCCTTCCCCTCACCTCCGGGAGGCCGCACTTCCCTTTGTCCGGGTAGGGCGACAACCCCGCCGCGTAATTCACCGACATCCCGTTGCTGTCTCGGCCAACCTCTTCATCGTTTCGTTGGGAATCATTAAGGGACCCCCCACACACGCACCATCTCAATGGATAATTTCCGGTCGGGGGGGGGGGAGTTGCGCAGGCGCATTCCGCGGGAACTTCCAGCCATTGGTGGGGGGGAGTTCGCCATCTTTGCTTTGGGCGGAGAGCGCGAGCGTGTTTGCTTCCTTGGAAAGGTGAACGACGTCGCGGGCGCCATGTTTGATGCGGGTGTTAGGAGGGAGGGGCCATGTTTGGGAAGGGCAGAGAGGAGGTGTGGTTATAAGTGATAGGTGAAGTTGCCGGCGTCGCCATCTTTGTTTCGGGCAGGCAGGGTGGAAAGGCGGGGAATAGGGAGGGGGAGAAGTATGTAGCGCTCTGGCGGGTTATGTTTTTTGGGGGGGAGNCAGCAGAGCTTAAAGTTGCCAAGTTTGGGAACCAATGGCTTAGCAACAGAAATTTCGGGCTCAATTATGGTCGTAAGTCGAGGACTACCTATATAATAGCCTCCCTCCTTTTACTGTCCAAAAGTCACTTTTCCAATTTCTTGAGAATTCCCAGAATAAGTTCTTACAAAGCTGAGAAGCTACATGAGAACTTTTTTTTTTTGCTTCTACAGCCGAAGGTGGAGGAAAGGGGGTGGAATAAGAATTTATCCTGTGTCAGATAAGACTATACTTGTCCATGGAGGCTCCATCGGAGATTGTCAAATATATTTTTTTTCTTTCTCCTCCCCCTTCCACCCTGATGAGATGCCTTGTGATGAGTGTGTATGTGTGTGTTAGTCTTAGTAAACGTGTTGTAAATAATACATTCGGGATTTTAAAAGGTTTAAAGGCTTTAAACCTTTGGGGGAGCAGATCAAAGAAGCAACAGGGTAGCTGAGAAAATAAAGGATTGCTTCCCCCTGCCCTGTGCCAGGCAGAGTAAAAACAGTTTATGCAAAACTTTTCGGTGTTTCAGAAACCAGTCCTCTGTTAGTTTCAGGGAAGGAGGCCCTCAAAGCATAAAAAAAGGGGGAGGGGGTGTTTGGGGGAGAATTGCAATTAACATTTGCAGAAGTGGCTGACCAAAGCCTTCCTGTTACGGTTGAAGAGATGTGTGGAGGGGGGGGAATCAACCAGACCAAAACCCTTCAACTGACCCTCCTGGTCAAAACCAGAACTCAAGAGTTCTCTCCAGCCTTGTAGCCTGTGGCCGTAAGCGTGAGACCAAATTGGTTCTCCATAAAGAGAACCAATCTTCTCCTCGGCACCCACGTTAAGTGGTGACTAATCACCAATTTTGCAGTAGCAAGGGGTTCCCAAAGACAAACACTTTATCAGAAATAAAACAACACAGTTCTAGGCTGCATTGAAAAAAAAAATGCCAACACAGTTCTAGGCTGCATAAGCAGAGGGATAGAATCAAGATCACGTGAAATATTAATACCACTTTATAATGTAAGGCCACACTTGGAATCCTGCATTCAGTTTTGGTCACCACGATGTAGAAAAGATGTGGAGACTCTGGAAAGAGGGCAGAGAAGAGCAACAAAGAGGATTAGAGGACTGGAGGAGGAGGAGATCCATTGCTCTCCTGGTTC